TTAAATCGAACACACCGTGTATATAATTTCTTGCTTATGTTTTTATTATTACAGTATGATATAAATATCGTACACATTTACGACAAATCTAAAATTACATTTAAATCGAAGAAAAAATGTCAACAACAAATACTTTATAAATGAAAACACATGACGAAAAGGGGTGCAGTAAAAATGACTAATATTACTAATATTATTATATAAAAATTCCTTTAATATATTCACTCTCTTATACTATACACACTAAATAGATGTTTCTACTACTATACATACAAGATAATTATTCGTATCCGTAAAGAAAGTAAGATTTGAGATAACGTTGTAAAAAAACACATGTTAGATGTTTCTTCGAAAAAATAAACTCGAATAATTAGAACGTTTGAAATCATTAGATATACGTTAACCTACCCCGTATTATATCGTAAGTTTTGCACGATCACCGGCGTCGCACGCTTGCCAACAATTAAAAACACATTAGGTCCGCAGAACAGGCAATGTATTAAAGGTCTCTCTTCCTTTTTCCGTGCTAAAGAAATCGCTGGTAGAATGCAGGAGGAGACGTGAGGCTTCCAGCAGAAGCCCAGGATGCAGAAGAGTTTAGAGAGAATCAGAAAGAGAGAGAAAGAGGAAAGAAAGAAAGAAAGAAAGGTGGGGTGGGTGGGGAGGGGGATGTAGGGTAGGAGAGGAGTATAATTTGATACGTTTACCATTTAGTCTTATTTTTGAGTAATTTCGAGTCGCTCAGGGCGTCTCAGCTGCGATGCCGCAACGCAAGCTCGATGTAATTATAGCCTTGGAAACTTTTTTCCTTTCTCTCTTTCTTTCCTTTTCATTTTCTCTTCCTTTTTTCTTCTTCTTCTTCTTCTTCTCTCTTTCCTCTTCTTTTACGTCGAACAGGACGAACGAGCCCTAGGCAATGTCTAGGAGATCAGCATAGAGAAACGTGTGAGAAAGGAAGAAAAAGAAAGAGAGGGAAAGAGAGAGAGAGAGAGAGAGAGAGAGAGAGAGAGAGAGAGAGAGAGAGAGAGAGAGAGAGNAGAGAGAGAGAGAGAGAGAGAGAGAGAGAGAGAGAGAGAGAGTAAGAAAGATTCAACGGTCGATATCTCTTCAATCTTTCGCGAGAAGATCGAGAGAATCATTCTTCATCCCTATTCACCTATCGTGATCCTTCTTCTTCGTCTACCAACGATTCCAATAATGTGAAAGAAACGATGACCAGCTCTCTCATTCTCTTTCTCTTTTTTCATTTTATATTTTATTTGAAAATATAGTGACCCCAAAATGTTGTTTTACCGACAATAAGCATTAAAAAAAACCAAAGGAAAGATTATACTATATATTGGTTTATTAAATAAAATTATTATATTTTATTGTTTACTTCATAATATATATGAATTTGTAATTTTAAGAAAAAGTACTAATAGCTTATAATTCTGCTATTGTGAGTGACACTCTTTTCTTTTTAATCTTTTTTTTTTGGGAAATTTTCTAATTAAATGATTGATATACACGTTATATTATGTCTAATTTAGTGCACGAAAAATGTTAAATAAGTTTTTATCTATTTATATTATTTTTATTGAATTATTCAGTGGTTACATCTGCTTTTAGCCATGTTTTCTTTTTTTTTTTTTTTTTTTTTTAATATCCAAATGATATTCGCGAGTTCGTTAATCGATTAATTATAAATGTTCTTCTTCCTAATGTTTTAACAACGCTGTCGTCGTTAAAATATTATCAACTTTGTAAGGCTTATTTTTGTTGGATCGTTTCTTTATTGTCAGCGTCTCATTAGTCGTATAATTGCGATTGTTTTGTGACATTTATCATTGGCGTGGCAGATGTCTTGCATTGAGAATCGTATTTGCGTGCAATTAACGGCGAGTCTGTTGCATCTAATATACATTATCTGTTCGATCCAGCACGTGACTAAGCGATTGCAGCTTCGAATAGAGATGTCTACTTTGTCGTTGACAAGAATTAACTCATTCTATAATGAAATTTTTATTTTAAAATGTATTTAACTTTCAACAAGATTGTATGTTTAATTTTCATAACACGCTAGGATCGTAATTTAACTGAGTTTTTTTTTCTTCTTCTACTTCTTCTTCTGAATCATAAGAGATTCATCGCGAATATATATATATATATATAAAAAAAAAAGAAAAAAAAGAAGACTTGTGGTAATATATGTATATTAATTAAGCGTATAATTTTATTGCGTTAGTTTGTATAGATGTTTGAATATGTATATGTTTGATACTTATTTAAATTGTATACGCGAGAATAGTGGTATGTAATTTAAATTTTTTAATCGCATTTGTAATAATTAAAATTTATAACAATTTGCACATATTACAATTTGATTTCGTCATTTCGTAATAATAAATTAAACTTACATTCTATAATATATAGGTAGGTATATATATATATATATATGTACACCTCTCTATATAAGTAAGTAAAACTTCTTCGTTGAATTTTCTTTGGCAAAAGGTGATACGGTCGATTACGTTATGCCAAGTTGGTTACATTGCTATCGGATAGCACGTCGAATGCCTGCGCGTCTACATTGTGCTTGCATAATATGAATTAGCATGTCATCGTGCATCGATCCATCGTATGCATTTTTGAACGCATTAATAGCTTGCTTTCCTATTGTTTTCGTTAAGGACAATCAGGTAAATGAAAAACGTATAAAATCTCTATTTAATAAAAAATAAATTCGAAAAGGACGAACGGTGTATGAGAGATGAAAGGAATACCATACTTTTATATATCTAAATTAAATATATTTATATAGATATTATAAAAATATTTTCTATATATATAGTAATGATTATTAATTTCTTTATCGGATAATATTATTGTTAAAATAACTTTCTTTTTTCCCCCCGAACAGATGAACATATAAAATATGATTAAAATAATTTGTTTGATAATTCGATTGGAAGATTGAACACACATTAATTATGTGTAAGTATAATACAATAGTTTGATCGTTGATATGTTATGAATTAAAAATACAGATGCGTTATATTCTATCACAATTAAAATAGACACATAACGATTTTTATAAATACAATATTTTCGAAAACGAATTCTCGTACGAAAAAATGTTAATACTATTTTAAAATATTTTTCGCGAAGAATTTATTTTGTATTCTGACCCACAGTATAATTCGTACATATATTAGAATAATAAAAATGTCAAAATAATATTTTCACTCGAGGTATAAATCAAAAAGACAAATCGCGTAATTAGAATTTTGAAAGATAATGGATAGTCAGTCAAAGGTTAGAGTAAGAGTAAGTTGAATCTTCGGAGAAACATAATCGTAATAGGATTTCTCGTAAAACTTCTTTGATAGTATATGTATGTATAGTTTTCGATCGATCTAAGGGTGGACGACGGACTTGGTATGGTTTGGTCTTCCATTTTATGTAGCTATACATTTCGAGGCACATGCCGAGTATGTATATATCTGTTTGGGTCGAAGCAAGGATAGAAGGTGTAGCGATTTATCGTGCAGCTTTTCCGGTAAAGTATCTCGAGGTACTTCCGGCAGACGTGGGTATCGGACGATCGACATGGCTCTTTCGAGGTGGAATACTCAATTACCTGAGCGAGTTCCTAGTAGGTACTTCTCTCTCTCTATACTAGTATACCTATACTAACTATATGAGTTAGGTTGTATTATGTAGCTACTTACATAGGTAGGATTATGCGTGGCCAAGCACGCTCGTGTTTCGTGACTTACGACGTTGAGGTGACGAGAGAAAGATGACGAGATGAAAGTATAGTGGGGGTACTTCTTACTAACTAACGAGAATAGAAACAATGATGACACAATGTTTACTAATTAAATTGATCCCACCCTTTGTTTCTTATTTCTTTTCTAAATTTTCTTTTCTTTATCCTTTATATATATATGATATTTTAAAGAAGAAATTCTTACAATTAATCATAAGCAAAGTGTTATTTTTATTTGATTAGAAATATAGATACTATTTACTTTTTCTAATTATCTGAAAGATTGATAAAATAATAATGTTATATATTTAATTTCATACTCAATTCTTGGAATGATTAATCAGTTATTTCGATCAATTATTTATCGTGATTGTACGTATTAAAAAATACGGACTGTATAATAATACCGGTAACATTGTTATTGCTGTTACCAAGCGTAGTCCGATGTTAATTAAGAATGTAAATTATCTACCAAACAACCCTTCTATCGTTGCACGTGTATGCGCCACTTGCTGTATCCTTTCTTACGTATTATCACGATATAATTATAGGTTCTTTCGTATAACGTTAATTAATCACTCTCTGATCATTATTTTTTGGTGGTAACGAACGTAAATAGGCAGGTTTTAAATCGTTAAATGTGAAAGTTAATATAAAAGTTCTGCCAAAAAATATTTTTTAAAATAAATATTACGATTAAATGGAAAACGTTTGTTTCTATTATTATGTTTATCAGTTACTCGTTATGTAAATACTTACTTATCAATGCTCTAATGCACTTAACATTCACATAGCATTTTCAAATCGATTTATTTGACCTTCATATCGTGAATCATTGAATAATAAAATCCAAGATCGTTTGAAAATTGTTTTTCCCTTTGCATTCAAGATTAATTAATATCGTACAGTTGCGTGATATATATATATATACCTAATTACTTTAAATATACATATTTATCTTGTTTATTACTTGATTTACAAGTCTGGTATTGTAAGAATAATAATAGATACATACATTATTACAACTCATGGAGATATTTATATAATTATAGTTTAAGTTTGATTCGTGATATAATTTTTCTTTTTTTACACATGTTGCATTTGAGTAATTAAATAATTAAAGTATACGATCGTTTGCTGTTGTTGTTATTGTATCATTATTATTTATATTATGCTGGTCGAATTTGTAAGAGATAAAATAAATGATTAATTATATACAAAGATAACAATATTTTTATCTTTATTAGGTCCCGACATATCTGGCTTCCTTCTGCAACCCTTCAGAAAACCGAAAAGAATAAGGACTGCGTTTAGTCCAAGTCAACTGTTAAAGCTGGAACACGCCTTCGAGAAAAATCATTATGTTGTTGGGGCGGAAAGGAAGCAGCTAGCGCAGGCGCTATCGTTAACCGAAACGCAGGTAAGGAAAAGAAAATTGATTGATGTCAGATACAAAAAAAAAGGGAAGTTAACATATTTTTTTCGAACGTCTATCCATTAAAACGATCTTAAAGTTTATTATTTTCATTCGAGATGTGAAGACGATCGATCGATCCCATCGTAAATATTTTCACGATTCAAATCTTTTTCTCAGATCGAGTACGAAACCAAATTAATCATCTTATGAAACAATTTTCAAATAATTAAGTATAATGTAAATCGTTTGGAAAAAACTTTCATAACAATTGAAAAAGTAAAAAAGAGAAAGTATTAAAAAAAAAAAAAAATTAGTAGAAGGGGAAGAGGAAGAGGAAGAGGAAGAGGGAAAAAAAGAGAACGTGAATAACGTGTTAGCTTAACGAGGCCAATGGATGTGCAAATTTGCTAAGAATAGGGATGGTTGTGGTGTTCTAAAGAAAACACGTTGCGGAGAATCGGTGAAAAGGGCGCGAGAGTCACGCTTTATGTATTCTATGGGCGTAACGCGCCCCGAAACAAGGGGTGGGGAGTCTTAAGAAGAAAGAGATAGATATATAAAAGAGAGAAAGACAAGAGAGGGAGAGAGCAAAGTAGGAGGGGTGTACGAAGGGGAAGGAGAAAGGTGGCGAGATAGTGAATTAAGCTGGGGGAGCGCTTACCGTCGTCGACGCCATTTTGGAAGGAACTCGTACTTACGCATTGTGGTAACAAGTTCTTTATATATATATATATATATCTCTCTCTCTATCTATCTTTTATTCTAACTTAAACTTTCTATTTTTTCTAATATAACTTTTTCAATTGGGAGGATATTTTTCATTTCATTGAATTATTTTTTTCTTTAGCGCGTGTGAGTAATAAATATAATATTGCAATATGACGATAAAATGATTATGAAAATAATATAAAAATTATAATCAACATTGTGTGTTGTATTTAATGTATATTTAGATATGATTTATTATATATATATATATTTGTATAAATTAATCTGAATTTTGTGTTATAAAATACGTTTGAATATTAAAATCAGTTTCCAATTGTATATCATTTTTCTTCAAATTAATCAATGTTGATAATTAGATAGATAGAGAAAGAATATTTTGTTGATAATGTTTTTTTTTTTTAAATACAACATTCTTTTCGATCAGAAATTCAAAAAGAGATTGTTAATTCGTGTTAAGTTGTACGGTCACGTTTCTCTTATCTGTTTTAAGAAATTCTCTTATGTTGGCTTGTGGGAAAAGGAATAAGACTCGATGTAGGTTCGCGAATGGCAAAAGCACCTACGTGATCGCGATTCGGCGAGTTGATTCGCGGTCATAATGTATTCCCAGGTAATTGCTGGGCTAATCGTACGTAATTAGTGCTCTAATGAGGAACACAGGGTCGCGTGTAACGCGCGTCTTTCTTATGAATCTTAACTAGGGTGAAACGTACCGTTTCTCTGCGTGTTCGGAGAGGCCTCTGTAAGAGCCTAAGGATATAATGTGACTGCTAATTGCGTGCCGTTCCAAGTAAATATATATGTATATATATATATATATATATATATATATGTATATGTATATGTATATGTATATAAGTAAGTACATTGCTGATTGCCTTCCGGATCGAAGAAGACAACGTTGCTGTTGGCCGTCGTTTCTTAAACGTAAATTTGCTCGTAAAGTATCCTGCTACCCTTGGCTACTATTTATTTCTTGGCTACTACCGAGGGGAACACTTACAGCAAACAAAAGAATTCAAGATTATCCTTTGGAAAGAGAGAATTTCTACGTCATACATAACGTATTATCTTTATTGTTATTTATGGTCTTCAATCTCGATTAGCTTCCGAAGTAGGTGTATTAGATAGATAGAGAGATAAATAGATAGTTAAATGATATATAGATAAATAGATAGGTATGTCCATGTTATGTGTTGTAATATCCGACGAGATAATATATTATAATAAATGATAATACGAAAGAGTACCGAAGGTAATTTGTAATTATAATAAGAAACGGGAAAGTCAACGATCGAGACAGTTAGATAATAGGATTAATCGCGATCATGTATCTGATTAGGCGTGGTTCTTGATATTGAAGGATACGACGATGTATACTACGAAGAAATGTGAAAGCTGCTTTTTTTTTTTTATTAGCGAGTTTCCCTTTTAAAATGAAACGTAATATATTATACGTGTTTTATCATAGATATCACGTAGCGATGGATAATGTAATGACAAGTTTAATTCGAATTAACGGATCAGAAGAAGAAGAAGAAGAAGAAGAAGAAGAAGAAGAAATAGAAGTAGAAGAAAAAAGAGAAAATTGAAAGAAAGAAAAGAGAAAATAGGATATAAAGATAACAAAATTATGTGCCCCGAGGATTAATTGGTAATTTAATGCGGGATATCGGGAATATTATAGGAATAATGACGTTAATTATATGCGAATCGATCGATAGAGTTAATTCTAATGATTTATCAGTCTTGAATAGGGCAACGAGTCATTACGGTTGTTGGTGTTCTGCCACTTATAGAGTAATACGGTCTCGTGAGGAAACTTGCAGTCTTATTTACGTACGCGAGACATAAATTATTAATGGACCTCTCCATTAAGCCGAATAATTTAGCCGACCAAACGCACGGTTTACAATCTAATCATACTCACTCTCTTTCTTTCTCTCTTAGTCTCTTTTTTTTTTCACTTTCTTTCTCTCAAACGCGATTGGAGGTTTAGTGCTAAGACAAGAGAGAGACACGAGAAGGCTAAAGATTTTACGACTTTCCTTGCACGAAACCAAAAATGTTTAATTTAACGCACACCGTTATTATATATTGATTTATTTTTCCTAATATATTTAATATTTATTTTCAAGTGTATTTATAATACTACAATATTTTACTCGTAAAATACGATACGCATGATAAATTTAATTTTATGATAATTAATAAACACAATTCGTTTCGAGAAAGTCAAATCCGGAATATATTATATTAGAATAAAATGTAAGAGAATAAAAACGGATTTCTAAAAAGCCGTTCACTTTCTAACGTTTTCAGATCGTATGACGATATTATCTTATCGATGTGTTGATGCTGTTGTGCATTTATATATTTTTTTTTTTCTTTTTAATCTTTTATAGACAAAATAAATATATATATATAATATATAAGGTTTATTATATATATATATATATATGAATTTTATTTAGTAAATTGGCAACGCAGCAACAGTCATCGGATGACCGACGAGCCTTAACTCGCGAATGCTTTATTTTTAGTCCAGCGACGTCACGGCTCATTATGCATAGAGAATCCGTACGCGGCCTGCATAATATGCAAACTTCTTTCCATTACCGTCCACGGCAACGTAATACGCACGGAGAAAAAGTCTAGCGCGATTGGCTGAGAATAAAATAGTGCCATGTCGGGAGAGCTACGATATCGTTTTTCTCTTTCCATCTTTAACTGTCTCTTTCTTTCTTTCTTTCTTTTTCCTCTTCCTTCCTTTCTTTTTCTCTCACGGAAGAGTCGATAGAAATCACGTAAGTAAGTATAATACATTTCGAAGAAGACAACGGTACCGAGCGTACCAATCATTTGACCATCCTCGTTGCAATCGCCCATTTCGAAATTAAATTATTTTTTTCTTCTTCTTCCATTTCAATGTCATTACGTATTCATTGAAGAATTTTTTAATTTCTTTTTTGTTTTTGTTTTCATAAGTAATATTTTCACAAGCAATGCATTTAAATCTTTCTTTAATAATCGCAAGTAATTATCACGAATGATCGACGAGTAAAATACGATCGTACGAATGGCAAGGAAGATCGTTTTGCAAATGCAACCAACGATCATAATTGAGAGTAGAAACCGAACAAGAGAACTTTTCTTATCGCTTAGCGGTATTAAAGTGAAATTAAATTCGTTGTATAACGTTGAAGGTTATCAACTGTATTTTTCTCTCGCGTGTGCTCAAGGGTCTAGTTTCTGAAAGCGAACAATGGTACATTAAAATCTTGGATAATTTCAAATCCCATTAAAGACTTATTCTCTCCTCTCCTCGCAACTACAGTTAGAAAGATCTTCTCGTCGTTCTAAACACGAATATCGTTTTTGCTTGATGTTTTTATACACTACAAGTTACTCGTTTAATATTGTATTATTGTAACCGTTTATCGTTCATATCGTATTCCACGAACGATACTACGTATATATATTTGCGAATTCGAAATTTCACAAAAACGTGACTCTCTCTTATTTATTATAAAATATTTATTATTTATATCATTTTTTTTCTCTTACAATTAATTTTAAAAACAATTTGACGAGCTTGTAAAACTGATCGATCACTTCGATTGAGTATTTTTTTAAATATACTTAAATGACTCGAAAAATTTCTTACCTATTATTTTCTAATAGTTTTGAGACTACACGTCAGAAAGAAATAATATATTAATTAGAAGTTAAGAATATATTTAAGAAGAAAAGTCAAAATGATACGTTATTAAATTAGTTACGTTAATTATAGACAGTTACTATTCTATCTTATTAATTAATTAATTACATACATATATATATATATACTGTCACCTTTGCTATACTTTCTAAAGAAAATTATTAAACACCTATCAAATAAAAACTATCAAAAGGATTGATTAAAATTTCCAAAAAAATCCTACATTTATTTCTGGATAGTAGTAGTAGTAGTAGTCACGAAAAATGATATTATCCCGTTGATCGTCATGTGAGAAGTATATAGAAACGAGATGAAAAAATATATACATATATATACACACACGTGTGTGTAGATATGTGTGTAAAAGAGAGAAAGAGAGAGAGAGAGAGAGAGAGAGAGAGAGAATGCGAAAAGCGTCATTTTATCGAAGCGTGTCGTTTTAGGACCAGCCACCCCAACGTGTACGCACGGTGTCGGCGATTGAAAAATAATATCGTCAAGTTTATTTAGCTGGGAGGGTAGGTTGACGAGAGGGTGGCGGGAGGCGAGGTGG